GATTTTTTTCCCTCTTTTGGGTTACTGCATCCATAGGTGTAGGTCAAGTTCATCAAATTGTATCAGATCACTCTTCTGCCCCTCCCCTTTATTCTTCTCCTGGTTGAGTTTTGAGCATCCATTCATCGGGGCCAGGTCACATGGGTACCATCTGCAAGTGTGGGTGTTCTTGTGCATATGCCCTCTCTTCCTATCAGCTGGTAGCTTCACTCTCCACTCTAGTCCTCTGTGGCCACACCGCCGCTGACTCTGGGCCCAGGAGTCCCCAGGTCTCCCCACACTGCTGGCCAACCAGGTCCCCATCTGGGTCCACAGAAGCCCACTGAACACTGTAGGGCTTAGCTCCTATGCAAAACTTTTTTTCTATGCAATACTCTTATTTATAGATAATACAAAAAATAAAAATAAAACTACCTTAGGTTGAATTGACTTAAATTTCAAATTAGTAGAATGTTGTTACTTATAACTTCACTTACTGAAAATTGTGTGTGTGTTTGTTATTTTTGTTTTATTTCAGGCAGAGGTTGAAAAAATAATTGCAGTTGCCTGGAATATTTTTCAGCCCCTTCTTTTTGGATTGATTGGAGCAGAGGTATCTATTGCATCTCTCAGACCAGAAACTGTTGGTAAGAATTTCAAAGTACACTTTTGAACCAAAGTCTTCTTCTCTTTCTACATTTAGTTAGAATTTCATTAGCATGTATATGTTCATTAGTTTCTACTATAACAGTTATATAAAAAGTTAATTCAATATATAGTCATAATCTAAGTCTGTTAGACTAACAGTTTAGATAAGAATCCTGGTAAATCCAAGACAGTGAATTTTACAACTTTAATATTGCTATTGGAGTCCTGGTGTAGCACTGTGGATTAATGCGCCAGACTGTAAAACCATTTGAACTGCAAGGTCGGTGGTTCAAGCTCTCCAGCCCCTCCTTGGAAACCCTACGTACAGGAGCCAGCCTACATGAGGAGGTTTCTGGAGGCAGACGGGGAATGAAAGCAGCAGGGGACTCAAAATGGTCAATCAAGAGTAACTTTATTACCTACACTACAGCTTAAAGTACAATCTTAGGCAGAAGGCATATCCAGGCACCACAACAAAACTAGAATTTATTATTACTAGATAAGTTAGGCACACATATTTTCTTCTCATTTTCGATTACTTCCCCAGCCATCTGGCCAGTGTGTTTTGCTCCCATAATCTTTGGCATGCAAGGTTTTCCTTGTGGTTCTCATCAAGGCGTTCCTTGGTTTAAGAAGTGCCTCAGAGTGGGTTTCACACATGTCCTGTTCTTCCTACACCTATACAGAGGTGCTATGGGTCGGAACCGACTCAACGGCAGTTAACAACAACAACAACAATATTGCTGTTTCTTGTAAAGAACGATTATACTACTGACCACTATCAAGAGGTTATAGTCTTCAATTTTTCTCTTCCAGTAGTAAGGTTACTTCACCTTCTTAATCTGACCTTGATCTGACCAGGGGTCAGAATTTGAAAATAACTGCTAGGGTAAGTCAAAATTATTCGCACTCTATAGCCAGAGTGTGGATAATTGTGGATTGTCATGCAAAATCACAGTGCCCTTGGATAGCAGTCATCTGCATTTAATCCAAAGTTTAGGCTTCAGCACTTCAGTGAGCATCTCACTGTAATGACCACTGTTGATTGTTGAACACTTTTCCTGATAATGTTCTAATACTGGCTCTTGAGTGTCCCAGAAAACTGTAAGCATCAATTTTTCAGCTGATGTTTGACTTTTGAAATTTTTCTTGGTCTGCGATTGAGGATGTTTGCATTCCATACTCTGCCATTTACTCTCAGGCTCATAGTGAAGAATCCATGTCTCCTCACCAGTAATGATTTTTTAAAAGAAACTTTTACTTTCTTTTGAGTATCAGTCCAAATTTCTTTTGTACATGTCCAAACGCTTCTGTTTATGGTCTTCTATGAGGTGTTTTGGTACCCATCAAGCAAAACCATTTCAAAACCCAAGTCTGTCATGGATTATTTCATAGGCAGAGCCATGGCTGGTTTGCAAATGATTTACCACATAATCCACTGTCTCTCATCTATTCAACAAAATCATTTCACGTGCACACTCAATGTTGTCATCTGCCAGGGACATTTTAATATACCTTTTAATACATTTTAATGTAACTGAGTGTGAGTATTTTTGACTCACCCTTGTATAATATGTACCCATAAAATGGAAATGTTTGTTGATTCATCCATGCTTTTATTCAGCCATAAATCCAAGTCATCATACTAAAGCTCTCTTGATTCATAGTATAACATTTAGGTATTAATTTGAACATATATTCATGACTTCCTCCTTTACTCCCATCACAATACCCTTCCATCTGTACTAAGGATGTGATCCTTTGCCACCTCCTTCTGACTCTCAGACAAGGATCTTTCCCTGTAGTGCATATATCTTCAAATACTCTGATCTCAATTTCTGCCTCTTCAGAATTTACATCACTCCTTAACAAATATATAGCCTTTCTCCATTTTCTTTCCAATAATATATCATTCTCCCATTTTGTTTCCCCCAGTTGGATAAGTACTGGACTGCTAAGTATTGGTCAGCAGTTCAAACCCATGAGCCACGCCTCGGAAACCCTATATAGGGTCTCTGAGTCAAACATCACAGCACTTAACAACAACAGCCACCATGCTACTACTTCTCTTTTCCTCTTTCACACTTTCGATGGGTAACTACATTCCCTTTTTCAATTTCAACTCCCATTCACTTTCTCAATATACTTCATACAACCACGTTGCTCTCACCAAGGTTATATTGCTAAATCCAACTAATACATTTTAGTCTTTATTCTACTTAAACTCTCAGAAGCATTTAATATTATTGACCTCTTTAAAATACTCTTTTATGTTGACTTCTGAAACTTCATATTTTTCAGTGCCCTTTGTAACCTCCTTTACACTATAGATGGCATACATTGCTCTTCATTTTACCAGCCCTTTGAACTTGGGAAAGTTATCTATCCTCTCTGATTTCATTTCTTTTTCAAATGTAAAATGAAAATAATAGTAGCACCTGCCCCACAGGTTGTATGAGTTAAATAAAAGTGTGCATTTAAAGCTTTGCAGGTAGCTGACACAGAGTAAACTCTCAACAAATGTTACTTTTTAAAAGATCACCTTCTTATTTAGCAGCTAGCTTAGCTGTACTTTTCTCAGGTCAAGTAGCCTGGAGCTGTCTTAGCCAATCTTCCTTATTTTACAAATCAGGAAGAAAGTTTATCAATAATGGATTGTAAACACCTGAATGATGTAGCTGTCTATATCCTGGTATGTCACTATAGGATAAGCACTGAACTTCTAATTGCAAGATCGGCTATTCAATCACACCAGTTGCTTCTTGGAAACCCTACACAGGATCACTATGAGTGGGAACCAACTCAATAGGACTTAACAATAGCACTTAACAATCACTTAACAGTCAATAGCACTTAACAATCACAACAACATTGTCATCCAGGAGCCCTTGTGGCAAAGTAATTATCTGCAGGGCAGCTAACTGAAAGGTCAGCTGTTAAATCCACCAGCAGCTCTGTGGGAAGAAGATGTGACATTCTGCCTCTGTAAAGATTTTCAGTGCTGAAAACCTTATGGGGCAGTTCTACTCTGCGCTGTTAGATTGCTGTGAGTCATAATTGGCTTGAAAACAGTGGTCATCCACCACTGTGTCAGTTTGTCATACTCTGGTGGCTTGCATGTTGATGGAAACTATGCTACTGGTATTTCCAGTAACATCAACGATGGAGGGAAGATTTTAGTCATGCTTCCAGACTAAGACAGACTAGAAGGAAGGACATGGTGATCTATGACTTAAAAAAATGACCAGTAAAAAAAATTGCTTATGTATAGCAATGGAATATTGTCTGGTAATAGTGCCAGAAGATGTCTTTTACTTAGGAAGGCACTCAAAATACAAGTGGGGAAGGCTTGCCTTCTCAGAATACTGTTGACCTTAATGACATGAATGGAGCAAAATTTTGGGGGACCTTCATTTGCTGATGGGTCACAATTCAAAATGAGAAGAAACAGCTGCAAACATCCATTAGCAATAAAAATGTGGAATGCATGAAATATGAATCTAGGAAAATTGTAAGTTGTCAAAAATGAAATGGAACTTTTGAAGACAGATATCCTAGAAATTAATAAACTAAAGTGGAATTAATAAATTGGTCATTTCAAATAGGATAATCATATTGTCTACTATGAGAAGAATGACAGACTAAAGAGGAACGGCACTACATTCAATGTCAAAAAGAACATCTCAGAATCTATGAAGTACCACTGCAGTACAATGTTGTCATGTATAGGATAAATATCCACGCATCTAAAAGGAAAACCAGTTAATACAACTATTATTCAAATTTATGAACCAACCACTAATGTCCAAGATGAAGACATTGGACACTTTTATTAACTTCTGTAGTCTGACATCGATTGAACATGCAATCAAGATGCATTGATGATTACTGGTGATTGGAATGCGAAAGCTGGAAGACAAAAGAAAAGGATTGTTGGAAAGTATGGACTCTGTGGTAGAAAATATACTGCTGTTGTTGTTGTCAGGTGCCATTGAGTCGGAACCGACTCATAGTGACCCCAAGCATAGCACAACGAAACTATGTCCGATCCTGGGCCAACCTTACTACCGCTGCCACACTTGATGCCATCAACGATGCCACCTGGCTGATCCATCTTGTTGGGGTCTTCCTCTTTTTCTCTGACCCTCCATCTTACCCAGCATGACATCCTTCTCCAGCGACTGTTCTCTCCTGAC